GTGTCAGCACGAGCGGACCTGCCTTTCCACCGGACGGGCCCTCACACAGCACCTGCCTGTTAAAGGCAGGGCCCACTGTGTTCACAGGGAACCAGGTCAGAGCTCCAACTCCCCTGGGAGCTGAGAGGAAGGAGCTGGCTGGTCCCTGCAGCCCAGGAAACACTGAGAAACACCTTTGGAACGGCCGGAGCCTTCCTACGGCCAGACCTCCCCCGAGGCACTGCCAAATTTCCCGGGTTCCCCAGACCAGAAATGTCTGGTGCAGCGTGTGAACTGACCCCAAAGTTGGGACCGGGGGACCAAGATGGCACAAAAGTGGAGGCCAGAATGCACTGGGGAAAAGCATCCTTATTATGAGGTCGTAGTGGTGTTCAGACCAGCAGGTGCCAAAGGGACCTGCTTAAAACGTAATGCCTTCCTTAGCCTTTACACTCGCCTGGCCACACTCAGCCTCACGCTGCGTGCACAGGCTGTGCCTGGACCACCCCTCCAGGGTCCCCGGCCCGTGCGCCAGGCCTGCTTCCTTTCTATTCTTGTTACTTGTGCATTCTCTCTTTAACCTTCCCAGCCCCTATCAGATGGGTTATCTTATACGTCAAAATGGAGGTTCAGAGAGGTTAGGCAAGTTGCACAAGGGCGCACAGCCAGGAAGTCACAGATCTGGTTTCAGACACACTGCCTCAGTTCCCTACTGGAGAGTTCTGGTGAGGGCCAGAGATGGAGCTGGCCTCTTAGGGAAGTCAAGGTGGGAACTACTGTCCTCTGTCATTTTTCTGCTATCAGCAGAGGGTCTTAGGCTCAGGGTTTGACACCCATCTGGCTGCCTCCAAATTGACCTCCAGCTGGGAGGCAAAGGTGTCCCCACCTATCCAAGGTCACCAGGTCATGCCTGTCTAGACAAGACATGAAATGTCCTCTTCTTGGCCCCATGTTGCCTGTGACCTGAGCTGCCTCCTGCATCTGCTGGTGAAGTCACATCCTTAGGGTGCTGGGATGGGCACATGAGGTCATCCGGGCAGGCTGGAGCCAGCCTGTGCCTGCCCCCGCCCACCCCTGTGGCTGCCTGGCCCCACCCTAGAGGGGGATCCATTCTCACCCCACTGGGTTTGGGGGAGGGAAGGCTGAAACCAGGTCCCCGCATGGGAGACTTGGGAGATTTCCTCTCCCATCCCAGAGCTGGGGGAGAGACTAGGGGTGCCACGAGGGCAGTAACCATCCCAGCCTTAGCACCACAAGTGCTGTACCCCAGGAACCCCTGGTCTAGAGCTCACAGAGGCAGCAGGGGACCCATCCACACAGGGCTGTTGAGTTTCTCTTCTGTTCCTGCTGGGGAAAGGCCGGTCCACCAGCCTCACACCCTTGCAACCCACTAGTGTTCCTGTGAAGAGTGGAGTGGGAAAAAGGGCAGGTATCTGCTTGTCTGTGTAGCCTGGCACAGACACCTACACCCCAACCTCAGTTTCGTCTTCTGAAGAATGGGGATAAGGACGCTATCCTTCTGGCAGAGCTGTTGAGAGGCTTAAAGGAGGGAGAGCTTTTTTTTTTTTTTTTTTAGTAGAGATGGAGTTTCACCGTCTTGGCCAGGCTGGTCTTGAACTCCTGACCTTGTGATCCACCCATCTCTGCCTCCCAAAGTGCTGGGATTACAGGCATGAGCCACCGCACCCAGCCTTGAGGGAGAGCCTTTATAAAGAATGGCACGCAGGGGAGATGGCAGGCAAAGCAGGGTGAGTGCTGGGGACATTCTGCAAGTGGAGGTGGCCGTGCCCAGGGTGTGCCAGGCCCATGCGGGCTTTGTGCTCAATTCACCCTCAGAACAATGTAGGAGGGAATCCATGTGGTTTATGAATGTCATTACCCCATTTTATAGACAAGGAAACTGAGGCTCTGGGTGCAGCCAGCAAGGGGCAAAACCCCGCTCCCACCTGGCAGTAGCGCCCACACCCGGCAGCAGCTCTCCCTGCAGTTAGGAGCCTGCAGTGCAGGGGAGAGAAGGGATCCGTTTTCCTGGCTGCCACCCTGTTCTCACCCAGATACCCAGAGGTACTTGATGCTGGTGGCAGGAGCCCTGTGGGGCCGTGGGGCCAGGATGCCCTCCTACACTCTGCCACCCACACCAGTGACCCCGTCTTGGAGGTGGAAGCCTGTTTCCTCCTCTATAAAACAGGGATACTGAGGCCATTGGAATGGTTGAAGGGAAGTTTCAATGACCACCCCTCCCAGCGCTAAGCCACGCGGGCTAGGGGACCGGGGACTCCTGCGAGTGGCCAGGGCTGGAATTCTGATGATCCCGGGGGCTGAGAGACACCTGCAGGTGACTGCAGCTCCTCTGCACCCTCAGCCGGCCGTGGTTCTGGGCGGTAACTGCCTGCCTTGCTCAAGGCCTGCCTCCCTCCCTGCTGGGTCGCTGCAGGCAGGCGCTTTTATGCGAGAACAGGAGTCCAGGTCTTCACCTCCTCCAGCCCTGCCCCCACCCTGGAGCAGAGGGGACAAAGCAGGTGTTCCCTCCCACACCGAGTCCTGGACGACTCCCAAGGCCAGGGATTCTCAAAGTGAGGTCTGAGACTCTTGGACGGGTCCACAGAGCCCCCCTTTTCCTCCCCGACATCTCTACGAGGATGGTTTTCTTCATGTCCTTCAACCAAAATGCAAGTCACACCAGACCGGATGCAGAAGCAGACGTGGGGACCCAGCTCTCTTCTAAGGAACCGGACATGAAAGAGGCTTGCAGAAATGTGAAACATACAATGCCACACTTCTCACTGATTCATGTTTCGGAAAAAAATGGTATCTTTCTTATTTTATTTTTTTTATGAGATGGAGTCTCACTGTTGTCACCCAGGCTGGAGTGCAGTGGCTCAATCTCGGCTCACTGCAACCACCGCCTCCCCAGTTCCAGCAATTCTCCTGCCTCAGCTTCCCAAGTAGCTGGGATTACAGGTACGCACCACCACGCCCAGCTAAGTTTTTTTTGTTTTTTTAGTAGAGATGGGGTTTCACCATGTTGGCTAGGCTGGTCTCAAACTCCTGACCTCAGGTAATCTGTCTGCCTCGGCCTCCCAAAGTGCTGGGATGAGCCACCGCACCTGGCCAAAATGTTATCTTTCTTGAAATATATTTCTTATATTAACATATTAAGAAGCATATCATTGTTCTTTTAAAATTAATAAATGCATGTTTCGAAATTTTATCAGTGTTCATCTCTAATGCAGTAAATACTGACAAACAGAACCCACATAAACAAAAGCCCTTTGGAGTTCTCAATAATTTTTAAGGGTGTCTATGGGCCCAAAAGCCTGAGAATGGCTCCCTAAACAGCCATCTTACTTTCATCATTACATTAAAATAGCTAACTGCAGCCGGGTGTGGTGGCTCACGCCTGTAATCCAGGCACTTTGAGAGTCGGAGGCTGGAGGATCGCCTGAGGTCAGGAGTTGGAGACCAGCCTGACCAACATGGAGAAACCCCATCTCTACCAAAAATACAAAAATTAGCCGGGCATGATGACGCGTGCCTGTAGTCCCAGCTACTCAGGAGGCTGAGGCAGGAGAATCGCTTGAACACAGGAGGCGGAGGGTGCAGTGAGCCCAGATCGTGCCACTGCACTCCAACCTGGGCCACAAAGCGAGAGTGCGTCTCAAAAAAAAAAAAAAAGCAAAGCGTTACTTGGTACTTTCTATGCTCCTGGCGTTTGTCTGAACCTTGTACATGTATAACCATACATGTATGTACGTAGACACACACGTAGATATTAATTAACAGCATGAGAACCCTCTGAGATGAGTTTTAATTACCCCATTTTACATATGGGGAACTGAGACTCTGAGACGGGACGCCCCTCCCCACCAAGGCCCGCTGCCTTGGGGGAAGCCCCTACTGGGACCTGCCAAGTCTTGTTCAGGCATGGCTGAGAATCCAGGACCAACTGCGTGGAATCCTCAAAGTTGGGCCCCCTCCTTGGAAAACGCCCTGAGGCTCACCGGCCAGGCTATCTTAGGGAGCCCCAACCCCTGGCATGTCCAGGTCACCTGCTCCAAAGAAAGCCTGGCCGCCGCTCCCTCATCTGCCTCCAGCCACACCAGACCTCCGGCTTTTCCATGGGGTCCTTTGAACACCCACACGGCGCCTGCTGTTCTCTCCTGCTGGAATGCCTTCCTCCACGTGGGGCCCCGCGTCGTCCCTGGCCGCTTGTGTAAAACAGCAGCACTGTCTCCCACCCCATCCCCTCCTCCCATCACTATGTATGTCCTGTGACGCTGGGCACTATGGGACATTGTGTTGTGGGTGCAGTGGTTGAGCGTCTAACCCCTGTGGGAATCTAAACCCCGGAAAAGTCCAGCCACAGCAACAGGCCCCAACACCATGGACTCAGGGAGTGGATAAGCAGGTGACGGCGACAGGGACGCACACCCACTCCTCCAGCCTGGCTGACCGGCGCTGTGCTGGCCTGCTGCCCAGACTTGCCAGATCTTTTGATTTTCCAAAAAAGCTGAACATCCAGATTTTTATGTAAAATCTCTTTTTTTTTTTTACACTAGCAACTTATTCAAATTAACATAAAGAAAAAAACAGCTTGGTGAGCCAAACCTTATGTAGATAAACGAAGTTTGGCTAATCAGAGTCGCCTTGCCTTCTAAGGGGAGATGACATTTGAACGAGGTTGGAAAGCCTTCAGAGCCAGGCGCAGGCCAAGCCGGGGAGGAGGGGGACAGGGTCGTGCCAGGCCAGCTGGGGCTGGGCTGGGGGGAGCATCTGAGGGGTCCGCACTCAGCCGACAGGCCCGCACCCTTCCCCTTGGCTTCGGAGGTCTCCCCACCTCCCCCGCACCCCAGGCCCAGCTGGCTGCAAGCCATACACTTGAAGCATATGCGTGGAGTGTTTTCAGAAACGGAACACACAATACATCGCAAATAAGGCTGCTCCTCCGTCTGGCTCGGACGCGTCTCCGTGCTCCGCCAGATGGTCCCCGGCCGCCTCCCCAGCTGAGGCCGGGCTTTGTGAGGTTGCAGTCTGTGTAGAGGCTGCTCTCCATCCCGAAGGAGGCTGCAGGGAAGCTCTCTCCCCGGAGTGGCCCAGGGAGGATTTTTCTTGGACTACAGACAGGAAAGCTGATTCAGCCGGGAACCTTCTTCTGCATTCAGAACCCCCACGGCTCCACCCTCCTCCATCCCCCCCGCCCACCACGCTCCATCCCCTGCCAGCCCCGTGACCCTGAGCCCCAGTGCGCTGGCGTTTATTGCTAATTGTTTTCAGACAGATGGTGTGGCCCAGAGTCTAATTCCCCAGGCTAGGGGGCAGGGACGCTGGAGGAGAAAGCCGTGACCTTGACCGCTGCATTCTTGAAGAAAAGGTTTGGCCCAGCCTGGGAGGCGGGGCGTTGGGTAGTGACAATGGCAAGGACTTTCAGAGGGGAAGCTTCAGGGCTTTGAGAAGGGAACAGGGGGGCAGGAGGAGGCTTTGAAATGTGGGAACCAACCCTGGAGCCAGTTTTACTGGCTGGAGAATGGCCCCACCTTCAGGAAGCCCTCTGGGATTGAAGCCTGTGAGGCAGGGAGAATTCCTCCTTCAGGGTTAGATTTAGGGATGGGGGAGTAGGGGATTTGTGGGGAGCGTGGAAGGCCTCTACACAATTTAATAAGGAGCCTCACTTTTTCATGCAATTTCAACAGAGCCACCAGTATTTCACTAATCCCATGAGTCTGCTGAGCTGAATAAAGACCCCAACTTACAGACGAGAAACAGAGGTGGCCTCTGAGGTTCAATGACTCGCCTTAGGTCACACAGTCCACAAAGATTCATTGAGCCCCACTCTGTGCCTGGAGAGAACACAGCCATGGCAGGGGACAGGTCACAGACTGGAGAGGTTCCAGAAGGTTTTTGAGAGGAGACAGACCCAACTCACAAAGGAATATGCTCAGAAATGGAAAGGACTAGAAAGAGTACAAACCAGGAAACAGGGTAGGCAGGGACCTCTGGGGAAGATCAGAGAGGGCTTCTCGGGGGAGGCAAGCTCAAATGTGGAGCCTTGAAGGCAGAGTCAAAACAAGCCGTGACTACATCTCAAAACAGAGAGAAAGCCAGCACAATGACCCAGGGGTATGGAGGAGCTTGTTGTGTCCAAGGTGGGGAAGTGTGTCCCCGGAGGCCACAATGGGGTGTAGACAGAAGTATAAAGCTCCTTCGCCAACATCACTGAATATCACATGCACCCAGGACTAGACTGCCAGCATCGGCTGGGCTGGTCTGCATCAGGTTGTTTGGACTTGCTTTCTCTGTAAGGGTTAAAGCACAGGGACATCTTTATGCCGGCTCTGGTTGACTGGGCCCTTCTCGGCTGCTTGCTGTGCATCTCCAGTCTATTAGAAAAATTGCCCCCATTTTTTCTATTTCTTTTTTGTTTTTAGAGACAGGGTCTCTGTCTGTCACCCAGGCTGGAGTCCGGTGGCACAATCATAGCTCACCATAGCCTCAGCCTCCTAGGCTCAAGTGATCCTCCCATCTCAGCCTCCCAAGTATCAGGGACCACAGGGGTACAATGCCTCGCCTGGGTAACTTGAAATTTTTTTTCGTTTTGTAGAGATAAGGTCTCACTCTGTTGCCCCGGCTGGCCTCAAACTCCTGACCTGAAGCAATTCTCCTGCCTTGGCCTCCCAAAGTGCTGGGAAGACAGGCACAGGAGCCACCACACCCAGCCCAAACTGCCCCCATTTCCAAGCTCAGCTTAATTACGCGGCCCCCGAAGGAGTGGCTTCATTCGCACAGGAGCTCAGTCCAAAACAAGGACCTCGCATACATTTTATTTCCCAGCTACGGAGGAAAATAGAGCAAGGAGGGTGGGGGGAATCGGGGAGTCAGGTGTGAACTTACATAAGAAGGTCAGGGAAGGGGTCCTGGGAAAGGAGAAAACACTGGAGAAAAGACCTGACGGGATGAGGAAGTGAGGCAGGCAGGAATGATGGACAGAAGGAACAGACGGCTATGAGGCCCCTGGAGGAGCCAGATGCACAGAGACGGAAATTCTGCAGGGACCTCCTCTCAGTGGAATCTGACAGCATTTGTCCTTTTGTAACTGGCTTATTCTACTCGGTATGTCTTCAGGGTTCATCCACATTGTAGCCTATGTCAGAACGGCCTTCCTTTTCGAGGCTAAGTAATATTCCACTGCGTGGATAGACCACATTTTGTTTGTCCATCCTCCACTGACGGACGCGCTGGTTGCCTCCACCTCTTGGCCATCGTGAAAGTGCTGCTGTGAACACAGGTGTGCAAATGTCTCTTCCAGTCCTAGAGGATGGATTTTTAAGGTAAGGGCAACAAGATTTGCTTGTGGCGCAGATCCAGGAGCGTGAGAGAAAGAGGTGTCCATGTGGACCAAAGTCAGCCCAGCTCCTGCCCCACCCCATCTTGATGGGCACAAGGCCATTCCACCCCTGACATTCTAGGACATTCTTTTGAGACATTTTGTAGCATGGCCTCAGCTCCTGGCCCCTCATCTCTGCCATCTCAACCTCTCAGGGCTCAGTTTCCCCTCTTTCTGCCAAGCCTCCCAGCTCACTGTCCGCATGGCTTCATCTCTCGGACAGGCAGACCGTCTGTCGGTGCATGGTACCAGCCTCCTCGTCACTGCTGCCCTTCCACTGCACCTCAGCAGGCTCAGATGAGTGAGACACGGAGCTCTTGAGTGCTCTGAACTCAGCTGCATTTCTGCTCTGAGTCCCATTCAGCAGAAATAGAGCCTTGCTTAGTCTTGAGTTTTCCCACTCTTCTTCCACCCTGCCCAGGGATTGATTCTGCTTTTCGCACTCCCAGGCAGTGAGGAGACTCTGTGAACTTCCTTGGGCCAAGAGTCGCCGCAGATGTCCCTGAGATGCCCATGGTCTCATCTGCCTTTAAGTCTTGATCTAGCTCCAGTGACACCGACCTCTTTTCTGCTCCCCAAACATACTGAGTGAGTGCCTACCCCAGGGCCTTTGCACCTGCGGTTCCAGCCCTTGCCTACTTTCCTCTTCTTTTCACACCCCTACTCACCCAGCAGGTCCCAGCTTCAATCTCCCTGCCTCGTAAACCTCCTCTATGCCCCAGGCTGAAGCCAGGCTCCCAGTTGGCTCCCCCCATACCTCCCTGGAAACTTTTCTTTCCTGACACTTGTCCCATAAGGAGAGAGAGACAGGAGGGTGCAGTGGTTAACACACGGACTGAAGTCAGACCGCCCGAGTCCAGATCCCGGCTCTCACTGAAGAGCAGAATGGCCTTGACCGAATCCTGGAATCTCTCCCAGCCTCATTCATAAAATAAGGATCATCATGATCTCCCTGCACAGGTTGTTGGGGATCAAATGAGATGACATTCGTCAAGCGCCCAGAGCGGTGCCCGACACTGTGCACAGGAGGATTGTGGCTGGGTGGAATTGCTTGCTCACTGGCCTCTTCCCTGCCTGGTGATAACGCAGAGAAGAGAGAGGCCGGGTCTGCCCTAGTGTGCGGGTGTATCCGGAGGACTCTGCAGGTCTGGACCGGCAGATGGATGGATGGATAGATGAGGGTTCTGAACTCTGAGCCTGTGCAGCAACCTCTTTCTCCTCTCCCGGGGCCGGCACCACCGCCATCCAGCCCCCTCCCTGCTTCTCCTGCCACTGGGGCTTACCTGACCCAGGCCCCACCTCCCCAGACTCCTGTTTCCATGTAAGTGCAATTAAGCCAAACTTTTGATTTAAGATATTTATAAAGGCACTAAGACTGTCCTCTAATATCAGCTTATATATTTTTAATCTGCCATTAAAGTGATTTAAAACGGAGCTCCGATGGATGGGCATGATGAAAATTAAAAGTCTCCATCACCTTGTGTCTGGCTGCAGTGCTCCAGCTGACAAGGACGCAGTGGGGCGGGGGCACCCCACTCCGCCAACCTGGGGGGAACGCAGCCTCGCCTCTGCTCCTCTCCAGGGCTGGAACAGCCAGGGAGATGCCGTGTCATTAAGTAGTGAGCGCAAAGGGTGGCAGTGTCTGCGGACGGAGCCACAAGGCTGCACTTAATGAACGGTGACATCTGCTCAGCTCTTTAATTAACGAGCTCCCACGCGCTGTGGCAGGACACAGGGACCACGTCCTCTGTGCTTGCGGGAAAGAAAGAAAGCAAGCCAGGCGGGGAGAGGACTGCAAATATGCAGAATAATTTTTTTTTCCTGTCTCCTTTTTAGAAACTAGAGAATGGAACCCGGCTGGTACTGTCCCTTCTGCAAGGCCATTTCCCGGGACTGATCTCCTGAGGAGCCTGGTGGGTGGAGGAGCTCTTGCCCATGCCTGCTGTTCAGCCTTTTCTTCACCCTTCTCCCACCCCGGCCTCTTCACACAAAAGTCTGAAATAAATGAAGGCAGCCAGAGCGCAGAGGTCTAGAGCTTCCCCCAGGCCCAGGATGAAAAGCCATGAATCCACCCTGTGTTCAATTTCCCCATCATAAATTCACTCATCCACAGCTGCATTCCGGCTTCCTCCAGGACAACAGGTTGCCACCCATGAAGACACCAAGTGGCAGCAGAGAGAGAGATTCTAGGTCTCACACCAAGGATGAGGGCCCAGGACAAGGGCCGCTAGTGGTCATCTATGGCTTAACCTCTGAGACAATGCATCTTTCCATTTCCATGCTGGAGGCCGGGTTTGCAGAGAGCCAGGCTGTAGTGGGTGGGTGGGAGGGTGAAGGGGACAGATTTTGACCTGAAGGCCGGAGGCTGTAGTCTCTGGCTTGTAAAATCTCAAAAAGCTTGGCCCTTGTAGCTTGATGGCCCAAAGGGTAACTCTGGAAGAGCCCCGCCCCAAACACATCAGCTACAGGTTTTTTTCTAGAACTCTCTTAGAGTTTTCTAGAATTCAGCTAAATTTCTGCTTTGTGTCCCATTCAGTGGAATCAGAACCTTGGCAAGTCTAAGGTTTTCCCACTCTTTGCCTACTCTGCCTAGGGATTGAGTCTAACTGTGGCCTTCTTGTGAAACAAGTCTCTGAACTTTCTTAGGTCAAGCGTTCCCACAGATGCCCCCCAAGATGCCCATGGTCTCAACTGCCCTTCAGCCTTGGTCTAGCTCCAGCTTCGCTGACCTCTTTTCTGCTCCCCAAACATGCTGAGTGAGTGCTCACAGTCACAGGCACTTATTTAGCACTTACTGTATGCCTGGCTCTCTGCAAAGTGGTTTATATGCACCAGCTCGCACACCATCCCTATGAAGAAAGGGCTATCACCAACCCCACTTTACAGAAGCGATTCTTCTGAGGAACACCCAGAGACGGTGTGGACAAGCTCAGAGTTCTGTGCCTGAAGAGGGAGACATTTGGGGTATTTATCCACATAATCCCACTTGGCATCAGTGGAGGGTGTTGAGCTCTCCAGAAGTTTCTCCTGAGTCGGTGTAGTGAGCACTGACAGCATCTACTCTCCTCCCTCTCTACACATTCCTGTCTGGAATGTTCTTTGGAAGCCATGTTGGCACTACAGAGGAAGGTACAAGAACTGCTGAGGCCCTGACATGGCCTGGTTTCCAAAACAGATTTTGCCAGCCTTCTTTAAACGTCCAATGCTTCTTGCTCATTGCCGATACGTAGGAAAGCAATTGACTTTTGCATACTTTGTATCCTGCAACCTTGCTATACTCACTTATTCTAGTGCTTTTTGTCGTTGTTTTAAATCTTTGGGATTTTCTGCATAAACGATCATGTCATCTGGAAGAATGACAGTTTTTTTTTTTTTGAGACGGAGTTTCGCTCGTTACCCAGGCTGGAGTGCAATGGCGCGATCTCGGCTCACCGCAACCTCAGCCTCCTGGGTTCAGGCAATTCTCCTGCCTCAGCCTCCTGAGTAGCTGGGATTACAGGCACGCGCCACCATGCCCAGCTAATTTTTTGTATTTTTAGTAGAGATGGGGTTTCACCTTGTTGACCAGCATGGTCTCGATCTCTTGACCTCGTGATCTCCCCGTGTCGGCCTCCCAAAGTGCTGGGATTACAGGCTTGAGCCACCGCGCCCGGCCTAGAATGACAGTTTTATTTCTTCCTTTTCAATCTGTATGCCTTTTCTTACTTATTAAATTAGTTATGATTTCCAGTATGATGTTGAGAAGTTGTGTTGAGAGTGAATGTCCTTCCTTGCTCCTGACCTGAAGGGGAAAGGACCTAGTTTCTCACCACTGAGTGAGATGTTAGCTGTTGGATTGTCGTAAATGCTCTTTAGCATGTTGAATAAGTTTCTCTCGACCCCTAGTTTGCCGAGAGTCTTTGTCGGGGATAGGTGTTGCAGTTTGCCACATGCTTTTCCTGCATCTATTGATGTGATCATATGATTTTTAGCCAGGTTTGTTTTTAGAGGAGAAAGAAACAACTCCTGTTTGTTCAGGCCGCTGAGAGTCACAGGAAGGAAGGAAACGGGTGCTGTGGCTCTGCTGCCTTTTCAATGAATGCCCTTGTGACCGAGATGTTGGGTAACATTAGTGTCCCCCGACTGCCATCACAAAGTACCGCAAACGGAGTGGCTTACACGACAGAAATGAGTTCTTTCACGGCTCTGCAGGCCAGAAGTCTGAGATCAAAGGGCCGGCGGACTTGGTTCATTCTAGGAGAACCTGTTCCTGGCCTCTCCCCTAGCTTCACTCTTTGGCACACCTTGGCGGTGGATGCATCACGCTGATTTCTGCTTTCGTGTTCCTATGACATTCTTCCTGTGTGTCTGTGTCCAAAGATGCCCCCATTAGAAGGGCACCAGCTATATTTGATGAGGGACCCCCTTACTCCAGTATGACCTCATCTGAACTCATTCCATCTGCAGGGACTCCACTTCCAAATAAGGTTGCCTTCTGAGGCACTGAGGGCGAAGTTGGACTTCAGCACATGACTTGTGGGGGATGCAACAGGGTCCATAACATGAGGTTAAGGAAAGTTTTCTTTTTATGATCAGGTGTCTCGAGGGTCCTTAATGGGGCCATCAGGGAGGTCTGGTTGGGAAGGAATATTTTAAAACCCAGAAGAAAGAAAGGAAAATCCATTATGTGTAGTTTCTGAGGGACTGGCTCTTCCTGGCCAACCACCAGGGTGCACAGGAGCCCCTGGTAAGGCCTTCTCCTTCCTGGGCGGTCTCAGGCGGTGGGCCCTGGGCTGGGGGGCAGGCAGCAGAGGGGCCCCTGCACCACGTTTTGGTGCTGAGCTGAGGCTTCTGCCCTCACAGCTGGGCTGACCTCCTGCAGGCCGGCCTCAGTCTAAACAAGGGCCGAGTATGTTTTTCTAGGCGAGGATTGGGCTGGGGGTTTGCCCGGGAGCCTGGTTCAGACAGGAGCCCTTTGAAGGCAGGATGAATTGAGCCAATGTCTCCTTCCAGCTGAGGGCAGGCAGGGGCCAGGGCAAGAGCAGGCTTCCAGAAGGCCTCTCGTCCAGGCCTGTGGAGGGGGTGGGTAGGGGAGCTTAGCCTCTGTGCCCACCGCCGGGCCTGAGTGACATCGTCACCTGACAATCCAGCAACTACAGCAGCAACGACAAATTCTCGCAGTCGATGCCAAAGCCAGCCTCATGCAGAGCCAGTGACAGGAGGTGTTCCCAGACAAGCACTTTTTATTTTTAGTAATTATGCATGTATTTAATGAATACTAGATAAAAAGACAGGCAGCCCATCCCATTCATGCTGTCTCAGGTTGCATTGCTTAGTGCAAGGTGACGTCTCAAAATTTAAAAAGGAGGTCACTGGAAGCTACCTGTATGTCCATCAGTAGGTGAATGGATAAGTGAACTGTGGTACATCCTTACAGTGGAAAACTACACAGCAATGAAAAAGCCCATCCTGATCCACATGCCAGCATGGACTCATGCCTATGATGTGGGCTGGTGACAGGTCCTGCTCTGAAAGGAGGGAGAGGCTGATCACAGGCCTTGCCTGGAGGGCCCAGAACCGATGCTGTTCTAAGACTCCACCCCTCCCCAGCCTGTCTGTCTCTATATCAAGCCAGTTGTCCCCCAAAATGTGCCTAGTCACTTCTTACTTACCCCACTGTTGGAATTCTGGTTCTGATGACCTCACTGCTCACGTCGCTCCCCCAGCCCTGTATGCCCTGTTCACACACTGCGCTTCCCACGCTGCACAGATTCATCTTCCTAAACGGCTGCTCTGATTGAGACCCCCCCACCTGCCATGACTCAAGAACCTTCGATGGCTCTCCCTATTACCCTGAAAACACACATCAAACTCCTTCGCTTGGTATTTCACAATCCCAGGAGCTTCTGAGCTGGCTTCTGGCCTGTGTGGTGTACCAGCCACAGCAGTGAAACGCTTTTTCCGATTGTGTCTGACGAGTTCTCCCCCCTTGGTCTTCTCCTCTACCAGCGACCCCTGTTTTACAACCTCGGCTCTAAAAGTCTGTCTTTCCCTTTGAAGTGAAGCTTTAAATGCTATTTCCTCCTTTCTAGTGAGAATGAGACACACCTCTTCCCTCTTTTCTCTGCCTGTCTCAGAGAATGCCCTAATCCTCTTTTTCTTGGGCCATGAAGATTTGACTCGCAATCTCAGGGGATCAAGATTTTAAAATAGTCACTCAAAAAGAGCAATGCTTAACCCAGAGGAATAAGGAAGGCTCTGATGGTGACATCTTAGGGACCCAGGCCTGGTGGAAAAAGGCACCGTGTTGGTCGGGAAGGCCTTCCCGGGAAACCACCAGCACCGACGGCCATAAACTCCAGCAGGTGGAGCCTGAGGAGAGACGCTACGAGCCGATGTCATCAGGGAGGGTGTCTTGGAAAAGGGAGAATTGATCCCGGCCTTGAAGGCAGATGGCACTCAGGGGAGCGGCATGGTTCTGGAGAAGAAATTTCTAATTTGCGGACTCAGATAGGTCTGGGCTCAAATTCCTTTTCTGCATTTTTTTTTTTTTTTGAGACAGGGTCTTCCTCTGTGATCCAGCCTGGACTGCAGTGGTGCAATCATGGCTCACGACAGCCTCGACCTCCCTAGGCTCAAGAGACCCTCCCACCTCAGCCTCCCAGGTTGCTGAAACTACAGGCCACCATGCCCAATTAGTTTTTTTCCCCTGTATTTTATAGAGATGGGTTTTTGCCATGTTGCTCAGGCTGCTCTCAAATTTCTGGGCCCAGCAATCCTCCTGCCTCAGCCTTGCAAAGTCTGGGATGAAACTTTGGCTATCATAGAAACCCCAACTCAAGCTGCCTTCAGTTAAAAGGAAATGTAATTAGCACTTGTAATGGTAAATTCCAAGGTAGTGTTGGCCTCAGGTACGGCTGGATCTAGGGCCCCAACCAATGGCCTCAGAATGTTGTCTCTTTCCATTTCATGGTTGTTTGTGACCATGTTAGCTTCCCCTCAGTCAGGCCCTGCTTTCACCATGGACACGGCATCGCAGCAGCACAGCTGAATATGCTCCGTCAGTCCAGATTCTCCCTTCCTAACTGTTCCTACAACAGTCCTGGGATTACCTCTGACTGGACCAAACTGGGTCATCCAATAACCCCTAAACCAATCACTGAGGCCAGAGGTTTGGAAAATTGGCATTGGGCTGAGCTTTAGTCACACGCCCATCTCTGGACCAATGCGCAGAACCAATTCCACACAAACCACGTGGTCTGAGGTGAGGGAGGGGCTGTGACCAGAGGGGCAACTGATGTCCACTGAAGTTACTGAACAGCTGTGGG